TGTTCCATGCACTGTCAAAGATAGTTTGATGATGACTTTAGTTTGGAGACCCCTAAGCATTTTCCAGCTGAGTGGCAGACCTAAGTGTGTATGATGAAAAACTTCTGATGAGGCTTGTTTCCTTTAGGTCCCATCCACAGATCCTAGTGGATCTAGTCCATGGACTAGATAATATGGGTTAAAGTAAAATCTCCCATAGGAGAGTGCCTATGACAGCAGGCAGCCAGATGCCTGACTGTAAGTGCTTAAATCCTTTGGACAAAATAATTTAGAAAAGGCTCAGAGAGACAACACAAAAAAATATCAATGTGATTTTAAAAAGTATAGCTAGCTCCAAAGTACTTTTCTACCCAAAGGTACCCTGCAGCATTCATCACTTTAGGCACTGTTCTTCATCACAAAACATTAAGATGGTTGAACATAATTAAAAGCAGAGTTAGATGATGGGTCCCTGACCGCAATCTGCCCTTGTCTGGGCTGATCCCAAAGTCAAGCTCATCCTTATGCCAGCCAGCTGTGATTAAAACCCCAGTACACTGGGCTAGGGCTTGATTTGCTGCTATCGCTGCTCTACCCCTACCAAGGTCACAGCCGCATGTTAAACTCATTCAACACTCCAAAATTGTGGTCCCATCAGCAGAAACACTGTGCAGCCCTGAGGGGTTAAAGTTACCATGCATATAGAGCATCTCCGGAATATGGGTACCTGTGTATATCAGTAGCGTGAAATTAAGTGATTTGTTAGGGGTGGAGGTCCTGATACCCACTAGCCCACCCTTTCAGACAGTGAAATAAGTTTTTCACAACTGCAGAGATTTTGATTGGAATAATTGACCACATGAGGCAAAAAGAAGGGGAGAGTCTTACTCAGTGAATGTTAAACAATACAATTATTCATACCAGAAAGAGCTACAGATAGTACTCAGGAAAATATTACACATGCGGAATTCAAGTCTATGATCCACGCCTAGCTTAAGCCACCTTTTCCTCTGTTGAATTTTATACAACCCCCCATATTTTATTGATCTGAACTAAAGAAAAAGACAACTCCTCTTGCAGTTTATTTTTTATATATAACTATATATATTTCATAAACATATACATTTATTTTATAAACAGCACTAATTTTGATTTGTGGTATGTTTCTGCAAACATTGAATGAATCATAATGACTGTGAAGTCTTTTTAGGTATAGATACAAACACACAAACACAAAAGAAATGAGAAATAAACATTTCATGTCTTTTGTCTTTCCTCAGGAGATTGTTGCTGGTTATGTTCTCAGAGCCCTAACTACCCTATGAAAAATCTTACCCCAGAAGCAATCCCTATTCATTGAACTGGAACTACATCCCAGGATTAAATTGCTACTTGAATACGACCAAACCAATTCTGCTTCTACAGTTAGCTCTAATTATTTCTTCACTTTTCTCCATATTTGAGAACGAGAAGAGAAATAAAGTTACGCACAGTTTTAATTAAATAAATCTATAGCTATTTCTGCACTTTAGGTTTGTTAATTAGTAACTAGTATTTAAAAAATTACAGAAAGTAAAAACCAGCAATACTTATAGCAAGGAAGTAAAGAAGTAAACAAACACATAAACAGCCACAAACTGCTGCCTTCACGCTGGTTTTTGGAAAGGGGTGGGAGAAGCAAGCTCAAAGGAAGGAACAGATCTCAAATCAAAGACGAAAGGAGCAACCTCTCAGCCTCCTAGCTCATGGCCCCCAGCTCATTCAACAGCTGGGCAGAAGTAGCAGAAATGCTATGGCAGCTCAAAGGAGTCCCGACCTGCTAGATCTCTTCCAAAGTAAGAATACTATTTTTTTTTGCTTTGTTCCCCCATCTACAGCAAAATGTATGTCTCACTGTTCTTTTTAACAGGCTAAATTAAAAAAATAAATAAAATTATCATTTAAAAGATACAACTTTCAGTAATAGGTTTAGCTTAGAATCTACTCCTACACATTTTATATTTTCTAAAAGCCTGGTATAATTTTTTTTCCCTTTCTGATCTCTGCTGATCAAAATTTGGCAGTTGCCACATTCTTTCTGCCAGAAGAAGCTGTTGATCCAGATATTTCTTGGTCAAAACTCTATTCACAAATTAAATATTATACATGTCCTTTTTCTTTAAACAAAGCAGGGTATTTTCAAACAAAAGAAATAAGAAATAAATCTCTTACTTATTGTATCGCCTATCTCTAATAAAGGACACGTGCATGCACCCTACACACTTCTGGTATTGAATTGCCTCCTTACTTGTCTCCACCAGGTCTGTGTTGCATTTTACAGTGAAATCTCTTTTAAGCATCAAACTGTATTTCTGTCATAGTCCTCACCATTATCAATTTTGATCTGATCAAGGTCGCCAGTCACAGAATACCATCAATATTAAGCAATAATCATGATAATAGTAATTCATATCAAGCATCTTCCATTTGCTTGACCATCTCCGTTATGTTATTAAGTTAATAGATCTGCCACCACTGAAGAAAAATAGCACAAAGAGAGAAATCTTATTAAACTAGAAATAAAATTTTAAACAATTCTGGGAACTGCCAAGGCCAGCCTCTGGGCTCTTATATGCACTACTCCAATCCAGTTAGCAAACTCGAAGGCTTATTTAGTTATTTGTTTTGATTTAATCAGTTTGTGAATTTTAAGTCTTTAATCGAATTAATTCTGACTGCTGCCAAGAGAAGAAAAGCAAGAACACAGTAAAAAAAGGACTAAAGGAAAACTATATTCCTAGTTATTGCAGTCTTTTATAAGAGTGGGAGACTGCATATAGCTGTTTTAAACATTAGCTTCGATGTGCCTCAACCACCAACGCCATAGAAATTGTACTGCAAAAGAATGAGCAATGTGGTTTTTTGGGAATGGTCTTTCAAGCTAATTCTTCAATTTGAAAAGCCTTTTTATTCCTTAAGACTTAGCAGGCTTGTCATTTCTGTGTTTGCTCCAAATTACCTAAATGTAAATATTTAAATTCTATTCAAGCTTATCAGGATTTGCTGGAATTCATTGGATCTTTCTTATGTCTGCATCACCTGTAGGATACAGCCCAGAAGAGTCTCAACTGGTTCCGTGTATCTTTTACTCTCTGATAAAGATCCCCATTTCATACATACACTCCCAAACATACCTTCCTGTGCAGTTACCATGTCACACACATAGTACCAGCTTGCCAGCCGAGAAATTGATGCCCTGCAATGCCAGAGGCATCATAGAATCACAGACTGATTTGTACTGGAAGGGACCTTAAAGCTCTTCCAGCTCCAACCCCTGCCACGGGCAGGGACCCCTTCCACTGGAGCAGCTTGCTCCAAGCCCCTCTGTCCAACCTGGCCTTGAGCACTGCCAGGGATGGGGCAGCCACAGCTTCTCTGGGCACCCTGTGCCAGCACCTCAGCACCCTCACAGGGAAGAGCTTCTGCCTAAGAGCTCATCTCAGTCTCCCCTCGGGCAGGTTCAAGCCATTCCCCTTGGCCTATCCCTACAGGCCCTTGGCCAAAGCTTACCCAAAACCAGCAGCCCTGCATGATATATGGTTCAGCCAAACATTCATATTTTCATTTAAATCCATGTGAAATACAGCTGCAAATTAATAATTCATTAATTATTCTTCCAACATTAAGTACTCTGCAATTGGGAACATACCAAGACCCCTGATGATGGTGGATAGAGGCACAATTTATGCACAGTCCATCCTGTCTTACCACATCTGTATAAACTATCTCCACCTGTGAGCATGAATAATGCAATAAAACATCTTAGGATAGGAGCATTCACATACATCCAATGAAGCACTGTACCCTGCAGCTTGTTTTCTATTTTTGTTCTATGTACTTCAAATGTAAATGATCACCACAAAAGGTCACAAAACGTGATCAATTGCTCTCTGACATTTTACCTTGAGAATAAGCAAGAAAAAGTAAACATAAAGGTTTGGAACAAGATGTGCCAAGACATCAATGCCCTTTGGGCACTACGCATAAGAGGAATTTAAAAGGAACAGGAGCTCGGTGCATTAAAAAACAAAATAAAAATAATAACCAGAATATATGTTTGATGTCATGAAAACGAGCAGTGTTAAGAGAAAGACCAAACTGACAGGTACTCAGTGTTCCCAGCAAATCAAAGACGCATAAATGTTCCCTAAACAACAGTTTATCCTTGTCAGTGAGCCTGGGGCTCCTACTCCTTGGTAGCTGTGCAAATGGAAGCCTCCAGTGATCACATCCAAAGGGACACCCTGACAAGACACAACCAGTTTCACGCTTTAAAATGTGGGCTTTTCCATATTCCAAATGAAACGTTGAACTTGGCTATGGAATACTAGTTCCAGAAAATGGAAGGAATGAATAAAAAGGAATAATCTCAAACACTTTTCAAAGACACAGCACTCAACAAGCAGTAAGCATAATTAGCACCTATTATGTACAATACTATATTATGAAATAACATCAACCCAATTCATTAGTGATACGGAAATGTTGGACTTTTTAATGGAGGAAAGTAATGGACTTAAAGAAATACACCTTTCAGAAAACAAACGTATTTGTTGGAATAAGCAAGATCTCTAATAACAGACCTACCTGCATGTGGTGTTTATAAACTCTCAATAAAATATTTCTCTCCCACACCACCTCTGCCCAAGAATCAGCTCTGCTTCTCATTATTCTCCTAGATTGCTCCATTTAATCAAAGCACAGCTACGTTTATTGCAGGTGCTACTCTGCAATCAGAGAAGAGTTTCTGCTGTTCACCCAAGTTTAATTGACAGTGCTATTGCTGAAGCCTCTCTGGAAAAATCACTGCTCCTCTCTGAAACTGGGTGTTTCAGTTCTTGTTTTAGCAACATCTAATAGACAAGTGAGGGGAACCTTCTGCTGGCTTTCGTTGTGTATGAAAAAGCTACACAAAGCAGGAATACATTCACAAACACCCGTGATCACAGCCCATGAGGTGCTGAGCACATGGCAAGACTTACCCTGGAGTTCACCACTTCCAAGGAGATGTTCTGAGGCATCGCACTGGGCACTGGAAGCCAAGAAAAGCACAAAGAAATGGGAAATATTATCATCAGTATCTAAGTCAGGTTACATAGAATATTTCTCTCGGGGGAAAGAAAGGAGTGAAGCTTTTACACCTAGTTTATAATCTGGTCATAACCACGCAGCTAATCCAGGTGGCACTTCAGAGGTCCCCTAGGGAGAGGAAAACCGAACGCATTGTTCATTTTTTCCTATTTTTGATAGACCTGTTTGTAAGCCCTTTAAACAGCCAGTCAGAAGGCTCCCTGCAGTGAAGCCAACTACTTGAACTCAGTTATTTGTAACAAACTTGGTCAGAAATAAATATGAACATGCTGAAATTTCTCTGGTTTCTGTGTATTAAAGTGTGTTTCAGAGTATATATTATGTATATTATTACATATGGATATTACATAGCCATATTACAGATGGAGTAGTGTATTTCTTTCTCAATACACCTCTTTTTACAAGGATGCCTAAGAGAGAAAGATAAAAGAAACTTTGTCTTTAGATGTTATTTAAAAAACAGTGGTTTACATTGAGGCTTTGCTTGTCGTACACAATATAATCCATACTGGGAGTTACACAACTAACCATAGAATCATAGAAACAAGTAGGTTGGAGATGACGTTTAGGAACATCAAGTCCAACTAAACTTCATTATATTCATTCTTATAAATACAGTTTAATTCTTAAATGGGGTTACTAGCTACACAAAATATGGTCTTACAAAGGTGTTTCATGAGAGGGTCTGGCACCTGTAGCCTTAAATAAAACAAGTGCTTCTGACACAACGTGGGTTTTTTTTCATCTTAGAAGGTCCTTTAATTTCATGCTCTCTTTAACCACATTTATAGGAAAGAGTACTGCAGTGCAGATCCATTTATCCCATCCTGGCGAAGGATAAGGCTCTCACCACCAAGGCACGGTGAATTCTCTGCATGGTTGGACAGACCATTATCACCTAAATATTTCCTCACACGTTTCTGCCTGTTTTCTACTCCATATCTATATATTTGTTTCCGATACGCTTGTGCAACAATGGCTCAAATTCTTCCAGCTGATGGCATGTATTAATTCAACCATTGAGGAGCAAAGAGCTTTAAAAATAAATTCATAGCTGGTGATGCATCAACTGCCTGACGTGAACCTCAAGTTTTATTTTCCTTTCAGACAAATAATGCTTGCTAACCTGTGCTACTGAAGAGCTGAAAAGCAAGTATGCAGTTTATTCTCACAGGAAGGTGGTCCTCGATTTGGAAAGAAAGAGCAGAAAAATCATCATGGTGGGTGAAGTACCCAACTGAAGAATAGTTTGCATTGCTATATACTGCAGTATTGTGTCAGTGTATAAGTATGAATATATCAAGTCAAAGACTTGTTTAGCATATATGATATTAAGAGGAACTCTAGGGCAAAATCATTCTCATTGCAGTTGTCCACACATATGGATTGAACCAGCAAAGATCTACAGTAATGATTTGAGACCTAGAACATCTTAGAGAGCAAATAAATTGATTTTATTTAAAAAACTGTAGTGTTAAGAAGTGTTCAGATTATTTTCTGTTGCTATCTGAAGGAGGAAGGACTTCTGGCTGTGAAAGAATGATTTAGCAGGCAAAGAGTAAGGAGCTGGAATCCATCTCACTAGAAATCAGGCATACCTTCCTTTTCACCTTCTTCATCTTTGCTGAAAATTGCTGTCTAGGGGTGTGGGACATACATCACCAAGCAAAATGTAGCCATAAGTATTTCTGTGAATCACTTACTCTGGCCAAAACATACACCAGAATGAATTGGTGACATTTGATGTACTGTATAGAGATGGACGTGGAGGGGGGTGTACTGTTTATGTTGTCTCTATATTGTTTCTGCGTATAACATGGGGGGGTTACTGTCTATGTTGTCTCTTTATATTGTTTCTGCATATACTCTAAATTGTCCATGTAAGCTGCCAGCTGTGGCAGATGGAGATGATCAGCGCAGACTGGCTTAACCTCAGCACTCCGCAAGAGACAGGCTGCATCTATAGTGAGTCACCCCTAACCCTAACACCTCTGAATCTCCAACAGTTTAATGGGCACTAATATGACAATAAACACCCCTATGCAGTTATTAAAGGAAAGGAAACGACTGCAGCAAGTCAGATAGATGCTACTTCCCTCAGATTATTTTCAGCTCCTCTGCTGAACTCTGCCTGGTCACATCTATGTTCAATAGACAAATCCCCAAAGAACATTCCTCAATATAGCATTCTCAATGCATGCTGCTATTTAAGACTTAAGTCAGACAGAGAAAAGTCATTTGTCAGTGCTAATAAGAAAGTTATATTTTAAATAAGGGCTACCAGAGAGCAGAAGTAACAACAGCTAATACCAGGAGGGACCCGACCCGCTGGCAGCAAATTCCTACGTTAATACCCTGTCCTTCATAAAGGCTCCGTGGAAAAAGAAACTCTTCTTCAGCTCAGGGATCCCAAGTCACAGAGACTGGCTGCTGGAAAAGGTGCAAGGTAACAAAAACCTATAGCCTGAGTCCATTAGGAGCTCCTGCAACCCAGAGCTCTGGATCATTTTTATATCCTGCCTTACCTGATTTGAAGGCAGGCATTTAAGGAATATACAAAACCAACTTGACATCATGCACTTTAACCACCCAGACCTCTCCATCACAGCAGATGGCCCAGGCTGGGGCATGCAAGCACACTTGGCTGCAGGACCTGAGTGCCTGCTCAGCTCTGCCCTGACCTCCCAGGACTCTGCACGCAAAGAGTTTCCCTGTTCAGTTGCTTTTGTATCTCTCCAGATTAGCAGCTTTAGAAATGAGTTGGTTTCTTCAGTGCAGCGGCTCTTCTTTGTTTCCATACTGCCCATGACAGCGCAAAGTTGATCTGAGGCATTGCTGCTGCAGCAGTACTGGCAGCAGAGAACAGTACATGAAACACTTCACCTCCCGTAACACAGAGGAGATGTCACTGACCACACTGCCCTCATTTGGAAAAACATCAGATGGAAAACTGTCTCTATGATGTACTTGGCATTACATGGAATGAGAAAATGGAGATATTTTTGGACATTTCTGAACTAGCTGGGTCTGATGAACACTGGTATCTCCCAGAAAAGACTATTTTCACTGGAGGATATTTGCCCTTGTTTGCGAGCAAGGCAGAATTGCTCAGAGACCCAGGTTCTCAAATGTGATTCTTCTCTCCCCTCGCTCATGGGCCACAAAGGCTCATCACAGCATTTAGCCATTTTCACCTTAAAGGTTTCCTTCACATTACTGACTAAAATTTTATTGTTACTGCACATAATTCCCCTACCAGAAAAACTTCTCTTCAGTTTTCTTTTTTATTTTTTCCCACTATTTGTTTGTCTTTCCATTACTTTGATGATTTCTCTTCGATGAACGCTTGTCACATTTCCCAATTTTGTTGCATACAAGAACATAACTGATGCACTCTTCATCTTCGATCAAAACAAGAAATAAATCCAGACCTGACCCAGCATCGAACTCAATCACAGCAATACTGGATGTCTTTATTCCTTGCTCAGTGCTCAGTCAAGGAGATGTTTTGAATTACCAAATCAGAGACCCAGATTTAATATCTCGGGTTGCATAACAATCAAGAGAGCTCCCTGGCAAACCCAGTGCCTGTAAGATTACAATTACTTCCTCCAGCTTTATATCTTGATCAAATAAAGAAATTGGATGCGCCTGCCTGGTAATATTTGTTTTCTGTTTATTATTCACAGTTTAATTGTACCGTTAGAAATTAGATAAGAACTCATTTTACCTAGTGTTAGCTATGCAACAAGAAATGAACAGAGACAGACACATCCAGCCTCTTTGTCTCTCTCAGCATGGGGTGACTCAGTGGTAGAAGAAGCCTTGAATATGCTTGAAGGAGCCTTGCTGGTGCAGGCATGAACTCCAGCCACCAAACAAAAAATAGGTTGCATCAGCAAACTCCCATGTAATGCTTGCAGGGGAAGAGGAACAGGAGGGAAACAGGCTGGTGCTTCTTCTGAACAGATAAGGTGAGACTGGATAATCTGGAGGGAATTCACTATCCCAAGAGACCTGGCTAATGGAGTGCTACAATAAGGGACTCGGTTCCCAAAAAGGGTCACAGCCAAGACAGCGTTCACCTCCGGTGTATCTATGCTTGTAGGTCTGAGCACTGAGTTCTGTTCATGCTCCCGTAAGTGTTCTCACAGCCTTCTTCTCCTCACCCTGCTCTCAAATCCCATGCAAACACAGTAACCACCATCTAAAAAACTTCATGGGCCGACTCCTGTGTCAACATGAACTTCAATCTTCAAATATTGCTTAACCCCCTCCCCAACATTCATATCATAATTATGGACATAAATTATACTTAGATCAAATACTCATGAAGCGTGAAATAATACTGTCTAGCAGTTGCTGGGATTAAATGCATTTTGATAAATTCATAAGCGTGATAGCTCAAAGCATTTCTGAAACGGCACACAGCTTGGCCAAATATTGTCTGAGCTGTATTTTAAACTGAAAATTAAGCTCTAGAGAAACAGTATGTTCCTTGATCTGGTGAGTGCTGCCTGGGATCTGTAACTGCACCTGGAGATGCTACACGAAATTCCTTGGATGGGAGGACATTTCTCAAACTATAGATTACATCCCAGAGCTTCATGCAACCTTTTTGCCTACAGACCTACAAGAAATAATAGTACAGGCTTTCTTTTTTTCTTCTTAATACAACTATATTGGTTGGACAAAGTCTTGGGTGAGATGGTTTAGTGTGAGGTGTCCCTGCCCATGGCAAGGGGGGTTGGAAGTAGATGATCTTAAGGTCCTTTCCAACCCTAACTATTCTGTGATTCTATATACCCTATTGTATGCTATACAGCAAAGGATTGGTGTGGAAAGAATAAACAGTTAAAGCACGCTCTCGTGAGGAAGGCAGACTTAGAAATGATGCTGTCATTTTCACAAGAGGAAAGGAAAGGCAGACTGATCTTCGGGCTCTTCTCCCATTTTTGACATTTACTGTTGTTTCAAACCAGCTTCAGAAAAACAGCACAGAGGCATCCCAGCTCCTTGCCCAGGGGCTGCCCTCTGGGTTTGCCTGCCGATGCAAAAAACAAGCTGCCAGACACTACACGGACTGTGATGTGAAGACAGCATGAAGCAAAGACCAAAGGGAGCCGGCTGTGACAGGCAAGGTGCTCCATGCTATGGTGTTGTCCCTCCAGCAGTGGTGCTTGCTGCCTGATGATGTTGCTAAATCTAAGTTTAACTGGAGGATGGGTTGCAATCTAAATAGCATAGCAGGGCAGCCTAGGGAGCTGCTCTCCTCCATGGGGAGGGTGGTAGCAGGGATGCAGGAACAAAACATGCTCAAATCCACATGTGTGTGCAGGCAACTAGAGACTTCTCTTTAATCCTTCCTTTGTCTTCCACCTATAAAATAGGACAGATTGAATGTCTGTCCCGCTGCTCTATGTAGGCTGTTAGCTCATCGGGGCAGGAGTTATTTCTTGCTATTTTGTTGTGGCTCCTTCTAGCAGAAGTTGACCTCAACCCTGGGAAAGGTCTGCATGGTACTGTAAAAGAGGAAACTGCAGAAAGTTTCAGTGATGCAGACTTGCTTTCTCCATTCCCTCCTTTCTTCCCTGGGACAACTAGAACTCCTACCACCTTCACCCAGGCTTGGCTAATGCCGGGCTTTTGCTCTGGCTTTTTTGCTGCTCTTCTTCATGCAAGAGACCAAAGTGCTTTCAGGCAGACCCAGAATAGTGAGGATGAAAAAATAGCATAGAATCACAGAGTGGTTTTGGCTGGACGGGGCCTTAAAGTTCCTCCAGCTCCAAGCCCTACCACGGGCAGGGTCACTTTCCACTGGAGCAGCTTGCTCCAAGCCCCTGTGACCAACCTGGCCCCAAACACTGCCAGGGATGGGGCAGCCACAGCTTCTCTGGGCACCCTGTGCCAGCGCCTCAGCACCCTCACAGGGAAGAGCTTCTGTCTAAGAGCTCAGCTCAGTCTCCCCTCAGGCAGGTTCAAGCCATTCCCCTTGGCCTGCCCCTACAGGCCCTTGTAAAAAGTCTTAAAGGGATGTTCTCTTTTACCTGCTCCAAAGAAAGGGAACACTGGGAAGCTGCAACCAAATGGCTTCTTTACAGAGCAGGCTTCTGCTTAAACAGAGAGTAAAATAAATACCGTCTCTTTCCAGATTCCTGAAACAAGGGCACCTACGCACATCACTGTTTTCTGGACTAGTCTCATGCAAACCTTCTCGTTAGCACTGATTTTTGTTCACAGACAGGTAAAACGTTTTAAACACTTGTGGAAGATTATTTTCAGACTCATGAATAAGAATCTTTCCCTTTCTCATTTATGGTGGTGACATTTAAAACCAAAGTGGAGCGCAGGGCTGCAGTTTTACACTTCACAGTGTGAATTAAATCTACATACATTATGCAAAATATTCATTTTCACTTGTTTTCCTTTTGTTTTTATAATTATAAGTGTGAAGTAATTTATTCTGCCAAGATCCAGCCTCTATTACAAGGGAAATCTGAATTTGCTGGGTAGACATAAGTAGCAGTTGAAAAAAATATTGTAGAGGTGTCAAACGTACAATAACAGTGCCAGCCGAGGTGTGGGTCCTGGAGATGAATCCTATTGAAGTTACAGCCCAAGACAACACAGATTAAAACAGGACTGAGGTTCTCCAGCTCCCTCAGTATCTGTACAGCTTGTACTAACACTGTCCAGAAACTGGTATTTTTAGTTGATCAGACGGACCATTCAGAAGCAACTGAGCTACCAGACAGAATATTGCCATTCTTAATCTTGTACAAATTTTCAGCTTTTCAACTTTTTTTGGTAGAATAACAAGGGAGAGTTATTAAATTTCTAACAAAATTAGATAAATATTTGCAAATATAAAGGATAAATCTCAGTCACCCTGGTTCTTCATCCAGTTTGGTTGGTTTTTTTCCTCTGTCATAGAATGGAGGATGTCTTTAATGTACAAGGCCAGGTTAGACAGGACTGTGAACAACCTGGTCTAGTGAGAGGTGTCTTTGCCCGTGGCAGCGGTTGGAACTGGATGAGCTTTAAGGTCCCTTCCAACACAAACCAGGCTGGGATTCAAAGATTCTGTGATTTATAGTGAAATTTTCGTGTGGCTGAGGTGCACATCAGGCTCTGTTTCTGGATGTGCTCATTAGCACAGGTTATGTGCTGCACTTCTGAGGACAGAAAAGCCCGGTAAGCTCGGCATACCTAGCTGAAGCCTGCAGCAACATATTTCTTGCCTACTCCCTGATTTTATACTCTCATTTAAAAGTAAACATTTTTTTTCCCCATGAAAATGACCTTAAATTAGTGATCCAAACCCAAAATCCAGACCTTGCTTTATATGTATGAATGAAAATAACTTGCTTGAATTTTTATCAGAAGGAAAATCAGCTGTTTATAAACCTCACTTTAAAAGCTTACTGCCCACCTCATGTCACCTTTAAAGAAAGTGTTGTTATGGAAAAATCCCCTCTGGCTGTGGAGCTCTGTCAAGAGCTGGCACATCCCTGAAGCCTCTGGAGCCTGTCTCCAGTCTAGATTCTGCTTTGTGACCTCCAAGCAACCCTTCTGAAAGAGTTTTCCCTCCATTTGTATAGTTTTTATACTTCTGTAGCTCAAATGACTCCAATGAAGTTATTTCTGCTTTAGCCAGGTGTGGGGATGAGGCTCAGTGACTTCAAGAGGAGTCAGGCGTGATAGCAAACATAACTAAGTGCTTCTGACTGCAAGGTACAAGTCAATTTATCTCCTGGAGCCTGCAAGCCACAGGAGCACAGCACGAGCTCGGGAGGGATGCTGGTGCAGCCAGTGTGACGAGCAGATACTGAAGCCCTGGCACGTTTGCTATGCTTGTGTTTAAAGCACAAGGAAAACCCAGGCAGTTGGCTCTTCAGATGCAGCTGTAGTAAAACAGCATCTGTTGGAATGCTCAAAGGATACACCTGTGCTTAGGTTAAAGAGAAAATAGAGAAGTAGATCATCCTTATCACTAGACATAGAAATAATGAAACGAACCAGTTATCCTTGGAGATGAGCACCAGCTCAGAGGGTACCACTCCAGGAATGTACTGAACCTCCTATTTCTGTCCTGCACATTCAGACACCTCCTTGCTTCACTGCTGCTTCTCCCAAGATTTGGTGGCAAAAGAAGAAGTCTGATAATTGCAACCAACAGGCACAACCTGCCCCCTCTGTCCCCACTCACCGTCAGAAAGCGTGGTGACCGTCACATCCTCAGTGGAGACGCCGGGGCCGTAGCGGTTGTAGGCGAGGAAGCGTAGGGTGTACTCGGTGAACTTCTTCAGCCCCTCTAGCCGGTATGAGAGCCCATCCACTTCCACGTGCTAGCACACAGAGACAATAAACCAAGGGGAAACGTGTCAGCCAGTGCTGCAGCGGTGCCAGGGGATGAGAGGATTAGAGGGGAGCTTTTCACTCTTTGACAAGTAGAGTGAAATACTTATTTAAGTGGATATAAAAGGCAATTTGTGACAGAGTGGCTCATTACAGCTCGGCTCTCAGCACTCATCCGCAGTCCTGCCCACAGCTTTGGCACGGAGGGGACTTTTGCACCTAATTGTTGTGTTTAGTTCCATAGGGTGCAGGAGAAAAGTTTCTTTTTTTGTAGTTAAGCCCCTTGTTGTTACTCCACAATTACATGATAGGGAAAGAGGAAAATAAACACAAAGAGTCAAATGGGAATTTCAGACCGAAGGAGGAAGTAAAATAAAGGAAGCACAGAAAAAGTGGGGATGGTATAAAAGTTCCCGCGGGAATACTGAAGCATGTGCCACAAGACTGCTGATGCCTGTCATTATCATGTACTATCAGGCCAGAAAAAAGACATCTCACTTTCTCCCCTGCTGTACTTTTTGCTAACAACCTTTTAAAGCCATACTCTACTCATCACCTCCACTGCTAGCTCCACAGCTACTGCTGCATTCCTATCAAAAACTGGTCATTAAATGGCCAGTGGGAAGTGTCTGAGCAGTTTCTCAGAAAGTCAGGTTGCTTGTTTGCCCCTCAAAAGCATGTGCTCATGGCAGAGTTAAGAGTGTAATTAAGTGCACATCAACAGCAATTTTTACTGTAAGCATCTGCCAATCTGGAGAGAAAACATATAATTTCTAGCCTGGATTCATATTATTTTACCTTCCTACTAGAAGGGAGCTACAAGCAGCAACTAAAAATCTATATCCTACAAAGACCACATGTACAAACTGCCATCAATGCAGTGATAGCTCTGCACAATGTACAGGGGGAGTCTAAGGGGTCTTTAGATGCTCTTCAGCATTATTCTGAAATTTCAGTGTAAAACTGAGGGATGATTGATATATAACAGGGTGCCTCTTCCACCTTCTGAACCCATTTTATACTGGTGGACGTTTTTATTTTGCTTGATTTGCTCTTTTATCACTGCTCCATGCAAAGTTTACCTACCATGGAGTATTTATCTGTAAAACCTCTTGCTCTGAGTCTTTCTAAAGACCTGCAGATGCCAACATCAAACATCTCCTTTTCACAAGTATCTCCCCTTCCTTTTCACAGTGGGAGAAGAACCACTCCGGTCATTGCTCACCTGCTCTCTTCCCGTCGCTGTCTCTGTACAGAAGAGTCTGTAGCCTTGGACGGGGCCATTGGCATAGGCAGGAGGATCCCAGGAGACGAGAATCGAGGTTGGTGAGGTAGACACAGCCCGCAGGTTTTCCACCGGCCCGGGAACTTGCACTGCACAGAAAGGAAAGGACAGCGTGAAAACCCCATTCCCACATCACCCACCACGAGCCAGCCCAGGATACACCTCCAGGGGTGCCCACAACAACAAATCTTCAGCCCCTCAGAAAATCCAGACAGAACACAAAAGGGACCCATGGAAAACCCGTGGATAAACCCATAGAAAATGCACTGCAAAAAGACTTGCTGCAGATTTAGCAGCATGAACACATCAAATTGATTCTGTGGAACACTGAAAAAGGCTTGTTCCAGCTATGCTACAACTAGGTGCCTTTGGCTCAGAGGATGAACTTCATCTTTAAATTGAATTTCTGGGAACTAATTGGCACAGATATCTAAACCACTCAATAGATGCATTTATTTTATGGTAGTAGGAAACCAGATACTTGCAAACCTGATCATCCAAGACCAGCTGTAGCAAACAACTGCCATTAGGAAAGCTCACAGGCAAGCACCAACACACTACAATCATCTCATTAACACACTGAGAGCTTTCCAGTTGGCTATGTGTGTTTCTGTCCCATCTCTGTATGTACCAGCTTGGTGCTATTAAAATATAAATTGATCTGGTGCACCGCAGCAGGGTTTGGTTTCTCTTAGCATGCAACTGTCTTCAAGATCCCTCTGTTAGCTTTTACTTAGCATATTTGCTCATGTTGTGCACATGAAGCTGTTTGTGCTGTCTGTTTAAACTTCTTTAAGCGTTGCTCACTCTATTTTAGCTGCCTGAGTGATCACAGCTGATGGCTGAGATGAAGCGTTAAGGGCAGACTCCTTGGCATGCTCTAATGAGCAAGGGAGATCACAAAGGCTGGGCTCTAGGCTGGTATCACCACATCTAGCAGGGGCATGAAATTGCTCCTGCAAGGCCCCAGAAATCTGGTAGCACAATGGATTGGGTCAGAAGACATCCTAGAGCTCTTCACATCAAGCCCTGGTGACTGGGCTGATCTTGAAGCTGACTTGCTTTGTGTTAGGGGCTGGACCAGAGACCTCTCATCATCTGCAACCCCTAACTTGCCATCAAAAGTTTGGCCTCACTAGCCAAAAGCTTCAACATTAATATGTATTCTCAGTTCTGTTCTTAAATAGTATTATTGTGTTTGCAAGGTGCCCATCACTTACTAAAACTGCAGGGCTGTAACAAGCTCATCTTACAAACCAAATAGCATTAACAGAAGTGCTAAAGTATCCCATCCTTGAAACTATTACCTGGTTTGATTAGTTCTGAAAACAGAGAGGCTTGCAGTAGTGTCAGCCTTCAGTAGAGAGCATTTGAAATGTAAAATTTAGATCAGCCTTGACACTAGGTCATGCTGCTGGTTGAATAAGCTCTTAACTCCTCCTGAAATGACAACACAAACCAATCACAGATTCACAGAACAGCATTATGGATTGGGTTGGGTTGGAAGGGATCTTAAAACTCACCCAGTTCCAACCCCCTGCCATGGGCAGGGACAGCTTCCACTAGAGCAGCTTGCTCCAAGCGCTGTCCCACCTGGCCTTGAGCACTGCCAGGGATGGGGCATTTCCATGATTTATTATTATGAAATAAATCCTTTATTCGGTTTGTTTGGTAAAACAATCCCTGATAAGTGCTCAGGGAGCTATTCTAGGTCACCTATTGTTATAACAGTCACAGAATTGCTAGGGTGGGAAGGGACATCTGGAGACCATGTAGTCCAAATCCCCTGCCAATGACTGTGTCTTAAAATGCACCAATTTCAGCCTGGATGCAAATTATCACACATCAGTCACATCACACTTTTGGACGTCAGCTTGAATCACTTACAAAAACAAAAGAGCTAAAAAAGCTTAATAAACTCCTGCAACTACCAGCATTATTTCTCCACAAAATCACTCCCTGCATGGCTCTGCTGGACCTAAACCCCATGACACCTGATGTTTGGAGGTAAGGCTATCTACAACAAGTCTGTGCCTCCATCTTGAACTTGAGCAAAACTGGAAGAGCAAAAATGGATAACTGTGGCAAATCGAAAAGCCAAGCAGAAAATCTTCAGCACCAAATATACCTTTCCACTTCCCATAAGGAGTGTCTTGTGGCATAAAACAAACTCACAAGCTGTTGCATGCATGACAGATAACAGAATTACAGCTCCTCTTGAAGACATTTCTGCACAGTTACATCCCCATTACCAGGCAGCTTCACACTAACAGATCTTCATTGTAAACCGTGTGTGGTGAGAAGCAATAGCAGACCCTGTGCTCCTTGGATCCAACCCTCTCCCACAGGACATGGGCTGCAGGGCTGAGCATTGGAGAAAAGTGCCCAGGCATGGTGTCGGCAACACACAGATACCGTTTGATCACAAGTAATTTCAGATTTAGATGCAGCGTAGATACATTCAATATATTTTTCTTTCCTTTGCCCAGTTTTCTTTTTCATTCTATTTCTGACAGGCACTCTAATGTGCTTAAGGTCTCAGTATTTTCAGCACACACAAAGCATTTAATAATCTCTCCTGATCCCTTCTGTCAAATAATAATCTCCTGAAAATTGGCATTAAGTTTTAAATCTTTCCCTAAATTTTTCTTTTTCTAAATAGCATGCAGGGCCTAGAACTGCTTTACATTCCATTAAAACAAGACATTAAATCATGTTTCTTCTAAAGTCAGTCTTTTGCAACTAACAGCATTGTTTCTCTAAGAAAAAAGGGTAAAGGAAAGAGGTCAGGCAGATAACAGATGCTTTTTCTCTTACTGGGGCTCCACATAATGCTTCAATATATTCAGAGTCACCCTTCCCTCTGAGAATGCCCTTCCACTCCCACAAAGGATTGGTTTGGCACTTCAGACTGTTGCTGAAATAGGAGCTACAACAATTGCTTGCAAAGAGTTCGATGCTGCTCTCACAACTGCCAAGTCTGGGGCTATTTGGTGGAATCTCTCCTATTCAACAGCAGTAAAAGCAATCAGGTCCAAAGCCAGAAATGGTCGAATGCTTTGGGTTTTTTTGAATCCAATACTGATTTTAGAAATACGCATGAACTCCTTTTCTGCCGTTGCTAATGTTAGCTGTCAGTGCGGCTGATCTTGTGTTACCAGGGTGAATAGCTGTATTCACACTATGCTGTAAGAATATGCCTCACACTGCCCCAAAAGCCAATGTTCCTGGGGCTCCGAGATGATACTTAACATAGGCACCAGATATATACCTTCATTCTAGGTATATACTATTGCAGAAATGGCTACTTGTGCTCCTAACATACTCGTTGCTGAATGGTACTGTTGTTTCCAATCTAAGCTGGCCCAAGCCAAGAGGGCTGTCCCCTATGGTAATGTTATGTCTTGCTTGTCCAGCAGTTCACAAATTCAACTGACCTTGGGCTGTTTTGGAGCTCTTCTGCCAGCAGTCTGTATAATACCAACGAGGTCATGTTCAGCTGGCAATAGGTGAAGTGACTCCAGACAGCATCCACAGCTCATTCCCTCTCTCCATTTTACAGAGCAGTGCTGCACATAGAATCATACAATCCCAGAGTGGTTTGGGTTGGAAGGGACCTTAAAGCTCATCCAGCTCCAACCCCTGCCATGGGCAGGGACACCTTCCACTGCAGCAGCTTGCTCCAAGCCCCTGTGTCCAACCTGGCCCCAAACACTGTCAGGGATGGGGCAGCCACAGCCTCAGCACCCTCACAGTAAAGGTCCTGTGCTGGCTGCTGATGGACCACGGACACAGGGCAAGCTGGAAGCCACAGGAGAAGTGGCATTTGGATCCATACCTCCAGAGTGCGAGTTGAGGCAATGCAGCTTTGATTTTGGGGTCAGCAGACCCAGAGGAACTCACAGTTGGGGTTCCACAGCTTGAATAAGGCAATAGCTGCTGGAAAGACCTCGCTGCTTGTAGAGTATGAGGCCTTTAAGACCTCTAGAAATCCCATAGGTTTGACGTAGTGTAGGAGCAGAAACAACAGGCCTCTCTCTATGCCAATAAAGCATCTCCTCGTTGAGAGGCTCTGATATTGACCCTGCTCATTTTCAGTTGCTTAAAACCATATGTTCACAAAATCAACTGCTCTTTAAAACCTGCAGAAACACAGTATCTACTCCCATGAGCTTCACTGTTCTCACAGACATTTCCTCTTTGGTATTGTTTAGTCAAATTTCTGATAATAATAGCTAGTAAGATATAAGCAAGGCAGAAGTGCCTGAAATAGGGATGCAGGCAACTACGTCACAAATTGCTTGGCAACTGCCTAAACATGACAAGCATAGCTCTCAAATCTGACATCTTTATCAGTTTCTGAAGCTCTGCCTTCTGCACCCCAGGCCACCCGGCCTGTGATGGTGGGAATCTGGCTCATACCAAAGCTCCAGTGGAGACCACGGGGAGGAGAACCTGAGCTCCTTGAGCACAGCTCTGGCACATAGTCAGTTACCCCAAGACTGTCACATCAAGCTGTACCACAAGATAACGACTTTCTTTCAGAGCTATTGATGGGCTCCAGTCTCGGGCTCTAAGGTGTATTGATGCCGAATTATGTATGACAGCCTGTGGACAATAAGGCAGAGACCTAAAGATGACTTCGAAGTTGTCTTTAAGTTGAATGCCTAAAAACGAGGTGAAAAGTTCACAGTCCTACTAGTTTTCTCTCTCCTTCTGGTCCCAGGGGTCTTGACTTTTACTGCCCCTAGTCCAAACCAATCTCCCACCTAATGGCCATGGGTCTCCTGGACTAAGTGTGCCATTTATGCTCTGAATCCTTTCAAGTATAAGAAAACATTAAACTTTCCCAGGAGAGAGGTTGTACCAGCACCACGCTTTTATAAGGAAAATAAAACCACTTATCTCAACCCAATTCTTTGAAAGGAATATGCCTGTTAAACTTGAGTTAGGTTTCCTTGGTCTCCAGCTCTGTATCAGTATAGCCATCTCCATTTGCTAAAAAAAGCTGCTTTTTAAAACATTTTTCCTGGTGATTCATTCTTCTCTATAATGAAATGCAATGATTAAAATGTTCTTGTTATTACAT